ACTTGCAGATTAATAGCAAAGTTTAACCACCATATAGTGAAAGTTTATAATTTGCAAGTGTTTTTAAGTCTTTCCAAAATCAAACATTCAAACAAACCATTCAAGTGCAAGAAGATGCAAAAGAGAGTATTAAAACACCAAATTCTCTTTCACATCTTCTTTGTTGAATGGTCACACACACAAAATTGTCTCAAAATACCGTCTTGAGTATCCTCGTAAACACAGTTGGTTGTGATGTAAGTAACCCGTAAACAGTTGAGAAGGAAATCGAATGTGTATCATTATATTAGTTCATGAAGCCAGAGCTGCCTAATTTATATGTTAATGTTAATCAAAATAAATAAAGAAAAAATTCTTCTCTGCTCTTGACTGAATCAGTTTAGTAGCTTTAACAAAGATTCATCTGTATTTAATTTATACTATGCAGTGTTTTTATATTTGAATCTGAATACTGCTCTTAGACAACTAAAGAACTTTTTTGCTGATCTGAAAAATGAAACGATACATCAATCAAAAACTGTAATATGATCACCCCAATAACCCCATTAACTAACACTAACTTTAGAGTTCAGCAGATCTCAAAATGAAAATCCATTTTTTATTCTTTACACAATATGTGATGCCTAAATTCACTTGTAGCACTTAAAGTAATGGTTTTTAATTTTTAGGTTTTTTTTTAAACCAAAAGGTAGCTACTTTTTTGTTATTATGATATTCATATTAGTAATGTAATTTGAACATTTTAATTGAATCAGATGGTATGCCAGTGAATTGATCAAATTAAATTGAAATTAATTGCATTGAATGAATATATATGAATAGTTGCTTATAAAAGTCCAAGTTACAAATGTCCAAGAGTTACATGTGAATGTTGTTTCCTCACAGAGCTCGCATTGAAGAGATGCAACAGAGACATTTGGAGGACTACAGGCCTCGTCCACACCCACCTCCTCCAGCCGGTAAAACACCTCATTCAGAGTCTGCATCAACTACAACATGCACTTTCTTTCCTTCGTTTTTAATATAATTGTTGTTAGTTTCATTGACTACATGGCAAATGCAACAGTTATGTCTTATAGCATATTATATTAATCTTTACCGAAATTTCTGCTTTTGAAGCACCTTTCGCAGGAGCAGCCATGTTTAACCCCGCCCAACCTCCATCTGCACGCAGAAGAGACGAAGATCAAGACGGGCTGCCTGATTACTGCTGTCCCAAATGTATGTACAAGGCTCCAGACATGGACACCCTGCAGATTCACGTCATGGACTGTATCCAGTGAGAGGAAGAGATGTTCAGGTGATCTCTTGACACCTGAGTGAACTATAACAACAACGACAACAAAAAAATTTATATTCAAGAAGTGAAAATCAAAAACATGCTAGAAACAAGTACACAAGACCCATCTAAGGATTTTGAAAATTTAATCCTGATGCAAATTGACTTGAAGTAGACAGGTAGCCGATGTTTAGCAGATGTTTTTATCATGTGGCTATAGAGCAGCCACCATGTTTCTGTACACTTAGTGTGTGTATCTCTTTACAAAAAAAGCTTGTCTGTACTGCCTTTCTGTGACAGCGTAGTGTAATGTGCTGCACGTGTGAATGTTTGCGTCTGCTTTACGTCTGCACACATCTGACAGTGACAATGTTTCCTGTATACCTGTGGTATTTGTTTCTCTGGATGTACGC